ATATAGTGACACTGGTCAACTACGATGGCTGCAAGAAGGCATTTAAGTTATGGAGGATAAGACTATTGCTTGTGAATATGACAACGGATCTGTATTACCTTTACTATTGGAGGCAGAATTCTTCTGAGTACCATTTGCCAGGAATCACCCCGGGGAGGGGGAGGAGTGCAGCTGCACCGGGGTCCTGATTGCCAGCTCCTGGGGGGGGGGGCGGTGCCTCTAGTTTACCACTGTGCAAAAAGTGTGCTGGGCTCTGTGGGCCGCTCGGCCCCCTGCTACCAGCCAGGCTGCTCTGAGAGACCCTCTTTGGCTCATGCCTGTCCTGCGAGTTGCCCCCGCCAGCCCCCCTCGTCCTCCTGGCAGGCCCAATTGCCGACTCACACTGTTCCTCCTTGGTATAGTAATACTCCTTGTCGATGACCACGTTCTCCCCCACCGTGTGCGAGAGCAGCTCGAAGGAGTTCATCACCTCGATGTTGCGCCCCTCCTGGCGGCCGATCAGGGCCCCGATTACTGCGGGAGGCAGAGGGGGGAGTCAGGGCGGCTCCTCCCAGCAGCCCCAGCGAGGGCGGCTTGTGCTCCAGGACGACGCGAGTTTGGCCAGAGATTGCGGGGGGGGGGCTCTCCGCTCCCTTCCCGGAAGCCTTGGCAAGGCTGAGGTTGCAGAAGATGCATTCGCGCCCCCCCCCCGCCCCGGCCGCCGGGCTCGGTCCCTTCGCTCCGGGGTCCCGCGGGAGGCCGCCCCTTCCCGGCTCGCAGGCAAAAGCCCACCGGGTGCAGCCCCCCCCCCGCCGCTCACCTTGGACGGGGCGCCCCTCCTGCGAGCGCATCCGGATCCAGTGGTCGCTGATGTTGAGGATGACGAGCGGGTGCAGCGCCACCGACACGCTCCCCGTCACGCCCGACGCCATCACCGCCGGCGCCGCTGCGGAGACCGAGGGAGTCGTGAGGACGGAGGGAGGCCCCGAGGGCGCCGCCGCCGCTCTTTCCCGCCGCCCCAGCCAGGCCCCGCCCGCCGCCTCCCGGGCTTACCCGCCGCGTCCACCTCCATGCCGGCCCCGTTGCTGCTCCCGGCCGGGCAAGAACCGCCGCCGCTGGGAGCAGCCGCCATCTTGGCCGCGTATGTCCCGTCGCGCTCTCCGTAGAGCAATCTCCCCGACGGACGAAGGGCGCATGAGCGTCGGGAGTGAGGCCAAAGAGATACGAAGAAGGTAGAGGGATCCCGAGGTGGAACTTCCGGGCTCTTCTCCAAGCGGAGAAGGCGACTGCGCAGCTGCGAGGGGGGAGAGGAGGCAGGGCGGGCCCCGGCTGCCCTGGCTGCGGGTGGCGCAGGCGGAGCAGCTGCCGTCCCAGCACCGCGGAGATTTTCATTTGTTGTCCGCCTAGAAAGACCCTTATGCCCCTTCCCGCCCGCGATCTTTCTTCTGGAGTCCCGCGGGCAGCGGGGTGGGGACCGCCGGGCTGGAGCTGGAGCTGCGCGCGGTCCTCCCCCCCCCCCGGTAATAATTCCACATCTGAAATACCGTGTCCAGCTCTGGACGCCACAGTTTAAGAGATTAAGGATATTGACAAGCCAGAAGGTGTGCAGAAGATGATCAAAGGTCTGGGAAACCAAGCCTTATGAGGAATAGTTGAAGGAGCTGGGGATGTTTAGCCTGAAAAGAGGAAACTGAGAGGAGATATGCGAGCCATCTTCCAATACCTCAAGGGCAGGGAAGATGGAGAAGCTTATTTTCTGCTGCTCTGGAGGGCAGGACTCGAGCCCATGCCTTCTAGTTATAAGAAAGAGATTCAGACAACATCAGGAAGAGCCTTCTGACAATAAGAGCTGTTCGACAGTGGAACGGTCTCCCTCGAGACGTGGTGAACTCTCCTTCCTTGGAGGCTTTTAAACAGATGGCCATTCTCTGGTGAATGCTTTAGTAGATATTCTTGCATTGCAGGGGGTGGACTAGATGACCCCTGGGGTTCCTTCCAACTCGACAATTCTAACTTGTGCTCTGTGTTTCTATGGATGTTCCTAAAGCTGCAGTCTTGTAGGTGTCAGGCAAAACCTAGTCTGGCATTCTAACAACTACAAAATCTTGGTTTTTAAGCAGGCATTTAAGCTTCAGTGTTAGGTTCAGTACAGTACTGTACTTTTCGATTTCATTTCCTCTCCGCTGCTTTCTTTTCTCGCTCTCTGTACCCATACACGCACTTAGGTATGTGCGCAAAGCGAACAAATATTCCTGCAAACTGTGGATCACCATTCAAGCACCTGATAAAGTGGAATATAATCCACGAAAGTTTCTGTCGCAAGACAGTGGCAAATCCTCGTGTCGTGGTGCCCCAGGACTCCTTTCTCTTTATGTGGGAGGGAGGATGGGGAAGCTCTGCCTCTCCGAGTGCCTCTTTCTCGACAGCTGCGTCTGCTCTGGCGAGCGGGAAGAGGGGGCTGCCCCAGCCCGGCTGAAACCTCAGTTCCTCCTCCTGGCTGCACGGAAAGGGGAATTCGCCCTCCAGGGCCAGCTCAGCAGGCGGGGAGGGAGCTGATTCAGCGAAGCTGGAGGGAGGCGCCCGTGTTGCTTTTAGCTGCCTCCTCCGGCGCCGGCAGCTGCTTTGGGGCGCGCCGGTCTCAGCAAACAGCGCCTTGCGCAACTCGGGCATTCCCGCCTCAAGAGCGGCCGTGGGGAGCGGCATCTGCCGTGTGTTGCTAAGGAGCGCCCAGAGTGGCATTCACAAGTGCAGACCAGCTCACGTGTGTAGGGGGAGAGCAGGTGCCTGGGAGCGCCTCCCTCTTTTAGGAATCAAAACATCATAGAAACTGTAGAGTTGAAAGGGATCTTGAGGTAACGTTACCAGATTTTTTTCAAGGAATCCGGGGACACTTTTTTTTAAAAGAGAAAAGAAGTTATTAAAAATATTTTAAAATATATATTAAGAAGTAATATCTTCTCTTCTGTGGTCTCCTCTGTCGCGTGGCCTTCCTCTGGGCCCCAGCCTACTCTCTTGGAGCGCTAGCCGCTGTGGAGTAGGCTCAGGTCAGACCTGGGCTCGGCCATGTGTCCTTGCCCTCCCAGGGCTCTCCTACCTCTCTTTCTCAGTGGCAGCGGTGGCAGTGGCGCGGCAAAGTCGGGGTTCCCCTCTTTTTTCCTCCTTCCTCTTTCTCGCTCTTCCTTCTCCCTGTGTCAGCTCCGGGGTTTTCCTGGCCCCGGAGTGCCACTGGGCGGGTGGCCGGGCACTCTCGCTCCTGGCTCGATTGGGGGGGGGTGTCAGCGGTTCCCCCAGTTGACGCGCCGGCGTCCCGGTTCTCCCTTGGCAGTGACAGCAGCAGTGGCAGTCTCAGCAGCCTGGAGCCAGCCTGGTAGCGCAGTTGGTTCTGGCTGGCTTCAGGGGCTGCTCGCTGCTGTGGTGCCTGCTATTTTGCCTTGCTGGAAGTCCCCATATGATGTGTCTGGAGACAAATTTGTAAATCCGGGGACTGTCCCTGGGAAATGGGGACATCTGGTAACCATATCCTGAGGGTCATCTAAACACATCAGTCATAAGGACATCAGAAGAGGCCGGCGGCTGCATCAGGCCCAGCATCCGGTTCTCCTCCCATCCAGAGGCCTGCATGGAAAGCCCGCAAGCAAGATTCGAGCGCACCAGCCACTCGCCGCACTCTCGATCCCCAGCAACTGGGGTCCAGAAGCATTGCTGCCTCAAATTGTGGAGGCGGAGCTTAGGCATTGTGGCTAGCAGCTATAATAGCCTCAGCCTCCATGGTTTTCTCCAACATTCTTTTAAAGCCCATTTCTGACTTTTGGGGGAGCGAGTTCCATCGCTTGACTTTGGGCTGCGTGAAGAAGGACTTTAGATTATTTGTCCTGAACCTCCCAACAATCAGCTTCATTGGACGGATGCCCCTGTATTCCAGGGTCACGAGAGAGGGAGAAAAACTTTCCTCTTCCCACTTTCTCCATGCCTGGGCGTAGCCAAGGAGAGCCCCCCCCCCCATTCCTCAAATATTATTGAAAAGCATTACCCGAGGTTCTCTCTCCCCCCCCAGCAGAAGCCTGCCCCCTCCCCATCAAAAGCCTGGCTATGCCCATGTCATGCATAATTTTATAAACTTCTGTCCTGTCGCCTCTTACTTGAATGTTCTTTAAACTAAAAAATCCCTATGCGGAGCTGGCGAAACTAACAGCAAAATCAAGAAAGCAACATGAGGGACTAGTCATGAAGAATGGAAGCCCTTTTGGAAATATCTGAAAAAATAAGCAGATGAAATCGCGAGCAGGATTTGAAATATGAGCAGCGATTGACGATTGATAATATACGAAATACGTTTTAGCAGAAATGTTTATTAGAATGCGTTATGTAAATAGGATGGGATTAAGAACAGCATGGAGGGAACGGCGGGAAGTCAAAGTTTAAAGAGAAATGTAAAACAAATTTGGAATCTTGAATATATGTATACTGTATAAAGTTTAATTTCAAAAACTGACTTTAAAAAACTAAAAAGTCCCAAACGCTGCAACCTTTCTTCATAGGGAAGCCTTCTCCTCCACTTTATAATTTTGGTGGCCTTTTTCTGACCATTTTCCAACGATGCAATGCAGTATCCTTTCTGAGGTAAACCGACCGGCACTGCACGCAGCATTCCAGAAGCGGTGGCACCATATATTGGTACAAGGACATGATAGCAGCAGTTTTATTTTCACTAAGTTCTTCACCTTCCAGAGACATACAAACACAACATAAACCGCAGAATCGATAGCAGTTATGGGGCTTCTCCCCCCATGCAGGGAACAGGGAAGGGGCTGGCGAGAGACGCGGCTTGTAGTTTTTCCCCAGCCGAAGACGCCGGAGGGCGGGGGGAGGAAGTGGGTCCGAGGCGAACCTTCCCGGAATGTGCCTGGAGGGGTTGAGGTTGCGCAAGGGGGCCTAGAGTTGCCGGGTAGCAGCAGCAGCAGCAGCAGCAGTCGCAGCCGCAGGGCAGGGCAGGGGAGGCAGGCAGGCGGATAGAGACCCACATGGAGGTCCTGGAGGTAGGAGGCAGTGGGACTGGGGGCGTCGGTTGCTTGGCTGTGAGCCAAGGTGAGGCAGGGAGACGGCGGCAGGACTCGTTTGGCCCCGGCGGCAGGACTCCTGGGTCCCATGGGGAGGAAGGAGTCAGCTCTGCTCCTGGGGCTTGGGGGAGGGCGGCGGAGACGGCTTTCTAGGAAGCGAGAACCTCCGGGAGGGTCATCAGCACCCTGGACAGCCGGGAGTGGGGAAGAAAGGCAGTCCCACCCCGTCGACGGCCAGCGCTCCCTCCCACCTGCCCACCTCTCCCCCCTCCCCGCCTCCTTTCCAAGGGGCTCAGCCATAGCCCCAGGGAGGAAAAGCTCCACCAGCCTCCGCGGAGGGACTGCCTGTGAGCCCCGAGAGAGAGAGAGCGTCCTCTGCAGGAAGAAGACCACGGCCTCCCCCCCCCTCCGTCTCAACTGGGCGAAATGCGGAGATGTCGGGATTTGAGGCTTCCTTTAAGTAGGGACAATCTAGGACAGAAGAGCCGCCAACCAGATACCCCAAAAGAAAACCTGCAAGCCGGATTCAGGCACAAGAGCGTTCTCCTCTCTTGCGCTTTCCGGGAACTGGTATTCGGAAGCATTATTGCCTCAAGCTATTTAGGTAGAACATAGCCATCGTGGCCAAGCAGCCATTGATAGAGCATCTCCAAGCACCGCAGAATCCTAAGAAAGGGCTTCAGGTTAAAAAGGAGAGTCAAGATTGTCAAATATTTCGAAAGGCTTGGAAGTTATCTAAAATTGGGGGGGGGGGGGGAGAGAGAGCTAAGAACCAGGCAAAGCGGAGCTGAAAAACGATAAACAAAGAGCCATCTAAAAGAGGGAAAAGTAGGTTGCTCTCTGGGTGGCTCCTTGCTTCGGAGCTGCTCAGTAGACAGTAGCTATAGGGTGGGTCGGAGAAGTGTTAGCCTAGGAGAGGGAGGAACACGCGGTAGCTGCGGAACAAGCACCGCGAACAGGGCGCCGAGTGCATGTTTGGCCTTTTCAATGTGTTGAGGGAGTGGGAGATTCTTGGTTTGTTTTTGTTCTAATTTTTATTATGCATTTTGTGTTTTTTATATTTCATTTTTATTTTGTGAACCGCCCTGAGCAATACGGATGAAGGGTGAATAAATAAAAAAATAAATAAATAAGCGGTTTTCTTTCGTTTTTTTCCAGCGGCCGCCGAAGAACCTCTCAGTGCCGCTTTCTGGTGGCCCCGCGTGGAACAGCAGCAACAGCACCTCCGGCTGCTTGGAGAGCGCCGACTTCCAGTACCTGCTCTTCCCCGTGGTCTACAGCCTGGTCTTCGCCTTGGGCCTGGTGGGGAACCTCTTCGTCCTGGGCTACTTCTTCCGCACCAAGTCCGCCACGGAGCCCGCCAACGTCTTTCTGGTGAACCTGGCCGCCATCGACCTGCTCTTCGTGCTAACGCTGCCCTTCCGCATTGCCTACCACGCGCTGCGCAACGACTGGGTCTTCGGCGAGGCGCTGTGCAAGGTCACCGGCTGCCTCTTCTTCGCCAACCTGTATGGCAGCTCCCTCTTCCTGGCCTGCATCTGCCTGGAGCGCTACGTGGCCGTTGTGCACCCGCTGCGCCACCTCCGGCTCCGGCAGCTGCGCTACCGGGTGGCGGCCGCCGTCGGGGTGTGGGCGGTGCTAGTCGCCGCCGTCCTGTACCTGGCGCTCCGCGGCCCGCTGACCAGCCGCTTCCCCGACGGCCGCACCGCTTGCCTGGAGAACTTCTCCTCGAGCTCCTGGCGGGGGCGCATCTCCTCCGTCAGCCTCTTCGCCGCTGCCGTGGGCTTCCTGCTGCCGCTCTTCCTCATCGGCATCTGCTACCCGCTCATTGCCTGGCGGCTGCTGGCCACTCCGGGGATGCAGCCCGGCTCACGAGCGGTGCGGCGCAAGGCGCTGCGCACGGTGCTGGTGGTGCTGGGCGTCTTCCTGGTCTGCTTCGCGCCGTATCACCTGGTGCAAGTGGTGCACACGTTGGGTCGCGCCGGCGTGCTGGGCGGCTGCCCGCTCATTCGCGCCACCTACGTGGCCCGCCGGCTCACCATGGCCCTCACCAGCCTCAACGCCTGCCTCGACCCGCTCGTCTACTACTTCGCCGCCGAGCGCTTTGCCTGGCAGCCCGGCTGGTGGAAATACTGCTGCTGCTGCCGCCGGCTAGAAACCGCCCAGCCGTCTCTGCTGAGACTTCGCGGGCTTGTGGCCAGTAAGCAGGGATCCTCCTCGTGGGGAGAAAGCTGCGCTCCCGGCACGGCGCAGTGAGCTCTCCAGCAGATCGCTGATCGTCGGAGGTGCGCGCGCCTGCCTCCTCGGGCATTCTGGCTGCGCATTCGTGGGAGCGAAGGAGTTCCTCAGCCTTAGACAAGCAGCCTTAGACAAGCGTCCAGCATATTGAGGACCAGTTAAACTGCCCTGGAGGAGGTTCCTTCGCCCTCTTCACGTTAAAGTGCTCATTTACACACCCACAGCCTGTTCGTCGCAAGGACCGTTTAAGAGATGGGAATTTGGAAGGCAGAGAGAGAGAGACTTCCCCTCCCTTGAAGGGGTTTCTAGAGCTGCTGCTGCTGCGGGTGTTGGGGCTTCGCAGTTGGGACCTCTTCTGAAGTCTTTGTGGCAGGCAGACTTTAACAAGGCGCAGGTACTCCCTGCTTTCTACACACCCATTAGAGCAAAGGTAGGCCACAGCCAGGCAGAAGAAGGGGAAGAGAGCATCTTTTGCACGCAGAGGGGCCCAGCTTCAATTCCTGACGTCTCCAGGAAGGGTTGAGAGAGACCGTAGGCTGAAATCTGGAGTGCTGCTGCCAGTCAGTGCAGAGAGCAATGAGCCAGATGGTCTGAGTCCAAATAAGGCAACCTTCTATCTTGCTAATGGATCGAAAAAAGGAGGAGTGCTGTATGGGCCTATGTACCCCTTTGCCTCACACCTTTCTCAGCATCTGAGGCAACCATTCTGCACACACACACACACACACACACACACACAAATGTTATGTCTGAATGGCCAAGTTTCCCAGGGAACATCCCAGCAGCCCTCATTGCCACTTGTCTGTGAGTGCAGGGGTAATAAGTGGAAGACAGAGCCTCATCTTGGCCAGCAAAGTGGGTGGGTGCTTCTAGGGAACAGTGTTAGTGTCAGAGTAATGCAGTTCAGGCAAGACACAGTATTCACATATTGCAAAGAAGATGGGGAGAGGGTTACAACATACAATATAGGTTGCTATAGGCATTGATTCTCTTGCTCCTGCCCAAATCTCTGTTTTTATTCTAGAGCCATTCCATCACAATACCCAAACAACAACTAGCTAAACGACAAAATATGTTAAATAACTTTATTTTGCTGGGGGGGGGGGCAGAGTAAGCGACAACACATTCTACTGAGCATGGAACATGTTGGTCTGGGAATTCCAAACCTGAAACTGTATTACAAGGCATTTTGGTTGAGACATGTTATACAGATCATTAGAAATGCAAAAGACCTTCCTCTGAGTTCAGCTTGATTCACCATCAAGGCATTATTGCTTCCGAACCCATCAAGGTCATTGATTTGGAAAAGTAGCCACCTTTTCCTCTGCTCTAGTGGTATGGGGGGGGGGGAATGGAATGCAGGCCTATCCCTGGCTCCCTTCCAAAATTGTATTGTCCAGATAAATACAAACAACGTGACAGATGGACTAGCAATAGTCTAAGGTACATAAAATATTTATTTGCTAGAGGAAGACCCACAAGAACCATACAGGTGTGGGATAAATGGCAATATATTCCTATCATTTGGTTTCAGCATTGCATTGGAGGGTCTGCAGTTCTGTGATGACTGGGCTGCACATGTGGTGGCACTGCCCATCAGCAAAAGAATTTTGGGAAACATTTCCCAAGAGTTGGGGAAACTACCACCTCCCCCTTTTTTTGTTCTTGCTAGATCTTTAACCTAATAAATCATAACAAGCTAGCATTATAATTTGGTGGTGGAAGCTGGTTGGGGGCAAGACACTCCTAAAATGTCTAAATTTAGTAAAGGGTTAGCATTTAAGCAAACCCCCATAATTCCTGAATTTAGTAAAATGCCTAGGGGATAAGTCATTTAAGAAACAAAGACAGAGTGATGGCCCATCAATGAAAACAATCAACCAGGGAAGCCCTGCCCTGAGTTCTGGGTATTTACATGGGCATAGCCAAGATCACTGACCAATCATGTTGGTTCTGCCCCCCCACCCTGAAGAAAAATCCTGCCCTCCCCTGACAAAAATCCTGACTTTGCCTATGGTTGTTGTTTAGTCATTTAGTCATTTAGTCATGTCTGACTCTTCGTGACCCCATGGGCCAGAGCATGCCAGGCACTCCTGTTTTCCACTGCCCCCCGCAGTTTGGTCAAACTCATGCTGGTAGCTTCGAGGGGTTGTGAGCGGGAGTGGTCTCCCGCGGGGGGGGGGGCCCTCCCTGCTCCTGATTGCTTCTGCTGCCAAGGCCCAGCCTCCCAGCCGACCAATAGGGCGGGCTGGTGGGCGGGGCTAAATGCGTTTAAACAGCAGCTGCAACCCTCTTTTCTCAGTCTGTCCCTGCTTTCTTCGGATGATGTGTGGTTGGCAGACATCATCAGAAGTATTAAGAATTGGTTGCACCTGGGAGGTATTGGCGGCGAGCCTTTTGGCTCGAGTGGCGGTTAAGCATTGGAATATGTGTGCTGTGTTGGAGTATTGGGTATGCGCCATCATCTACCCCTCCTCTTTTGGGTATTCCATTAAAGGATGCCCTGCTAGTGGCTAGGGCCATGGCACGACCCCCCCCCCGGTGACGTCATGGGGGAGCTTCCAGTTGTATTTGCATCAACAAGCTCCTCCCATTGGTTGTTAACCCTGATATGGCCCCTGGCTGTGTGGGGTGGAGTCTTGCATTGCTGTTTCATCCAATGCCTAAGCCAATACTAGTCACATGCTGTAACCAATAAAAGTTGTGGCCTAATTTCGCCAATTAACCTAAAATAACGTGTCTGTGTGTCTTATTATAATCCTATGTGGGTGGAGGGTCCTCGACTCACAACACTGATGTTGGACAGAACCATCTCCTCCTCTGTCATCCCCTTCTCCTTGTGCCCTCAGTCTTTCCCAACATCAGGGTTTTTCCCAGGGAGTCTTCTCATGAGGGGGCCAAATTCTTGGAGCCTCAGCTTCAGGATCTGTCCTTCCAGTGAGCACTCAGAGCTCATTTCCTTCAGAATGGATATATTCTTTGCCTATGGTAGCAGAAGACAATTCCAGAGTTGGGAGGGGGAAGTTTCCAGGATTACATTGGGAAATGATGTAAACCAGAGCTTTTCAACCTTTTTGATTCCATGGCTCCCTTGGCCAACTACACTCTTTCTGCTGCACCCCTGGGGGGCTTAGGAGCTCACTTTGGTTACCCCTTACCTGCAGAGCTGGCAGCCTCTCACCTTTTTCTAACACCCTGCCTTGTGGAGTGTTCCCTCAGTCTCCTCTCCGCTCTCCTTGGGAATCCTCTGGGCAGCTGCAGCTGCTGCCCCTGGTCCTTGATCCGCCCCCCACTCTGCCCCAAAGAGAGGTGCCTCCTCACACTGCCCACAGGGGCTTGAGAAGCACCCCTTTGCCACAGAGTCACAGAGGCAGCATTTGCCTGGGGAGCCTGCTGCCAGGGCTGCTGCAACAAACAGCTGTGCAAGCCTTTGGGAGGCAGAGATGCAAGAGGGCATCAGAGAAGGAAAGGAAGGAAAGAGGGACTGAGGCCAGAGTAGCCCACAGCACCCCTGAGCACCATTCAAGGCACCCCAGGGGGCCATGGCACACTGGTTGAAAACCACTGGTGTAAGCTAACAGGAAAAAAGATTAAGTTTTGCAAGCTTGATGGGTGGTGGTGGTCAGAATATAATGTGGGCCAGATCAAAATGTGGATGGGGAGGAAAGCCCTCTTCATTTTGCGTGGCAATGCAGTGGAGAAGCTGAGGGAGAATGCTATGTGACAGGCTGTAGAAAGAGACAGAGCATGGCTTATTTCTGTCTTGCATAGAAGGCTGCTGATCTTATGGGAATAATAATAATAATAATAATAATAATAATAATAATAATAATAATAATAAAATTTATTATTTATACCCAACCTATCTGGCTGCCTTCAGATGTCTTTTAAAAATAGGATAGCTGCTTATTTCCTTGACATCTGATGGGAGGGCATTCTACAGGGTAGGCGTCACTGCCAAGAAGGCCCTCTGTCTGGCAGTGGCGTAGCGTGGGTTGTCAGCACCCGGGGCAAGGCAAGTAATTTGCGCCCCCTAACCCGTGGATTTGCGCCCCCTAACCCGTGGATTTGCGCCCCCTAACCCGTGGATTTGCCCTAACCCGAGATGTTGCGCCCGGTGCCGCCGGCACCCCCTGCACCCCCCACGCTACGCCACTGCTGTCTGGTTCCCTGTAACCTCACGTCTCACAATGAGGGACCCGCCAGAAGGCCTTTGGCGCTGGAGCTCAGTGTCCAGGCTGAATGATGGGGGTGGAGATGCTCCTTCAGGTATACAGGACCGAGGTCGTATAGGTCAGGACCAACACTTTGAATTGTGCTCAGAATTGTTATGAGAGCCAATATAGGTCTTTCAGGACCGGTGTTATATGGTCCCAGTGGCCACTCCCAGTCACCAGTCTAGCTGCCACATTCTGTATTAATTGCAGTTTCCGGGTCACCTTCAGAAGTAGCCCCACAGAGAGCACATTGCAGTTGTCCAAGCGGGAGATAACTAGAGCATGCACCACTCTGGTGAGACAGTCTGCAGGTAGGTAGTGTTTCAGCCTGTGTACCAGATGGAGCTGGTAGACAGCTGTCCTGGACACAGAATTAACCTGCACCTCCATGGACAGCTGTGAGTCCAAAATTACTCCCAGGCTGCACACCTGGTCCTTCAGGGGCACAGTTACCCTATTCAGGACCAGGGAATCCCCCATACCCACCTGTCCCCTGTTCCCCCAAAACAGTACTTCTGTCTTGTCAGGATTCAACCTCAATCTGTTAGCCGCCATCCATCCTCCTACCGCCTCCAGGCACTCATACAAGGGCAAGGGACCTCTTGAACTGTAATGCTTTGAACTCTTCCATCATAGGCTTGGGCTTTTATGAAAATAAAACAGAGTGAGTGAGAGAGAAGCATATACAAAAAAATATTGATGTGAGAGGTTGAAATTGTTGTAGAAATATGTTGGTGGTTTGGGAGACCCTATGAGGCTCTTCAGTAGTCGGAAGGATGAATCATAGAATCATAGAGTTGGAAGAGACCACAAGGGCCATCGAGTCCAACCCCCTGCCAAGCAGGAAACACCATCAGAGCACTCCTGACATATGGTTGTCAAGCCTCTGCTTAAAGACCTCCAAAGAAGGAGACTCCACTACACTCCTTGGCAGCAAATTCCACTGTCAAACAGCTCTTACTGTCAGGAAGTTCTTCCTAATGTTTAGGTGGAATTTTCTTTCTTGTAGTTTGGATCCATTGCTCCGTGTCCGCTTCTCTGGAGCAGCAGAAAACAACCTTTCTCCCTCCTCTATGTGACATCCTTTTATATATTTGAACATGGCTATCATATCACCCTCCTTCATGGATCACTGCCTTGCCGTGGCGAAGGGGCTTGAATAACTCAGAGAAGCTATGAGCTATGCCGTGCAGGGCCACCCAAGATGGACAGGTCATAGTGGAGAGTTTTGACCAAACGTGATCCACCTGGAGCAGGAACTGGCAAGCCACTCCAGTATCCCTGCCAAGAAAACTCCATGGACAAAGACAACAGGCATATAAAAGTTATGACGCTGGAAGATGAGCCCCTCAGGTCGGAAGGTGTCCAACATGCTACTGGGGAAGAGCGGAGGACAAGTACAAGTAGATCCAGAGCTGATGAAGCGGCTGGGCCAAAGCCGAAAGGACACTCAGTTGTGGATATGCATGGAAGCGAAAGGAAAGTCCAATGCTGTAAAGAAAAATATTGCATAGGAACCTGGAATGTAAGAACCATGAACCTGGGTAAGTTGGATGTGGTCAAAAATGAGATGGCAAGAATAAACATTGACATCTTGGGCATCAGTGAACTAAAATGGACGGTGTCAGGGGCTCAGGAGCAGAGGGACAGGAAAGGGAGGAATTAGAGACCGAGGGGGAGGAATCCGAGGGAGAAGTTAGCGAGGATAGCCGCCCGAGGTCTCTAAGTCTCTCCAGAGAATCGGAGGATTCACAGAAAGGGGCTCCCGTGGTCAGAGCTAGGGGGTTGCCAGAGGGAACACCCCAGGAAGGAGGGGCCAGAGGGGAATCAGAGAGCAGCAGTTGGAAATCGGGACCAGCTTCCCCACCGGAGAGCAGTAGGGGGGAGGAGTCCCAGGCATCGGCATCAGGCAGCTTTCCGTCAGCGGAAGGACATGAGTCAGGGTTAGCCACGCCTGCATCAGAGAGTGAGGAGAAGGTCAAAAGGAAGGTCGGAGGCAGCGCGCGCGCGCCAAGTTCAAATGTACAAGAGGGTGGCGCGATGAGCAGCCCGGATAGGGAGCCAGGTCCTAAAGCCCGCCGAAGGGAGGGGGAAGAGTCCGAGGGGTCCGCTTCCGAAGCGTCCAGGAAGGAAGGGACCCCGGGGGGTGGTAGGACCCAGAGGCGGAAGGAGAGACGGAAGAGGTGGAGTAAGGCTAGAGTCTTAAGCTGGTGTACAGGGGGCGGAGACTCAGACGGAGCTTCGTCGGTCTAGGCTCTAGACGTAGAGACGCACGCTAGGGTTTGAAAATGGAAACTATGCTTCAATAAAGACTTTTGTACAGTTCTACTGGCTAGCGTTGGTCCTCTGTGAGCTGGGACCTGGAGGCAGTCTCTGACAGACGGGAATGGGCGAATTCAGTTCGGATGACTATCATATCTACTACTGTGGACAAGAAACCCGTAAAAGAAATGGAGTGGCCCTCATAGTCAACAAAAGAGTGGTGAAAGCTGTACTGGGATGCAATCTCAAAAATGATAGAATGATCTCGATACGAATCCAAGGCAGACCTTTTAACATCACAGTAATCCAAGTTTATGCACGAACTACTGGTGCTGAAGAAACTGAAATTGACCAATTCTATGAAGACTTACAAGACCTTATAGAAATGACACCAAAGAAGGATGTTCTGCTCATAATAGGGGATTGGAATGCTAAAGTAGGGAATCAAGAGATAAAAGGAACAACTGGCAAGTTTGGCCTTGGAGTTCAAAACGAAGCAGGGCAAAGGCTAATAGAGTTCTGTCAATAGAACAAGCTGGTCATCACAAACACGCTTTTCCAACAACACAAGAGACGACTCTACACATGGACATCACCAGATGGGCAGCATCGAAATCAGATTGATTA